CTCTCTCTCTCTCTCTCTCTCTCTCTCTGTGTGTGTGTGTGTGTGTGTGTGTGTGTGTGTGTGTGTGTGTGTATGTGTGTGTGTACCTACCACTAGCCAATGGTTATGGTCTTGATAATATGTAAAACTTGTACAAATAAGATTGTGAGGGCTAGGGAGATGATTCAGAGGGTAAAGTGTGTGTCTGCTGGGCAAGTTTCCACATTAAAAAAAACAGCCAGTTGCTGAGGTGGCACACATCTGTAATTCTAACACTGTGAGGGGAGAGGAAGTAGCAGAGACAGGAGAATTCTAGAGCTCACTGACCAGCCAATGTAGCCCAAAAATAAGCACCAGGTTCAGTGATAGACCCTGTCTCAAAAAATAAAGTGGAGAGCAATCAAGAAAGACACTTCATGTTGACCTCTGACCTCCACAAACACCGGCACTGGCAAACACTACAAACACACACACACACACACACACACACACACACACACACACACACACACACTCCTCACAGACAAAACTTAATATATCAGTTTCCAGCCAGGCAGGAAAACTCTAGCTACAATCACTGGCTCTAGGATGCTCTTGGCAGTAGAGAACACTGACCAGTAAAAGGATCGTGGTTAGGCCAGTGCAGGGTACAGGGCTGGTGATATAGAGGACTTGGGTGGACAATGGCGTCATAACTGAATGTGAATTAAAATTCTGAAAGTCAGCTATAGCCACCTGAAGCCATGTACCAGTTCATACTGGTTTCACAGTTAACTGAGAGGCAAGGCTGGAGCGTTGTGGCTCAATGGTGTCTATCTTCATCAGCAGCCTGGCTTTGTATTGTTGCCAGCTGTACTGGTTCACATGAGAGATTGGCTTTGAAATCTCAGCAAACCAAATTCAGTGATAGTGTACAAACCCACAGGATGGATGGCCTCATTAATTATGAAATAATTTCAAAGTTCTCTCTTTAAATCCCTTCGCTCCACCGATTCTTCCTTTCATGGTCATTCTTAATCAATATTTTCATGTCATAGAGAAATTTATACACACATATTGGTGCCAGAAGTCCTTGCATTAGAATCAATATTTTAAAGTTTTTCTATGTAAGTTAAACTTTTACAAATATCATAAAGTGAAAATAATCCTTTTTTATATTTCTCTTATTACTTTTTGAGATTTTCCTACACGGTGCTATATTTACATCATTTATTTATACCTCACCCTCTAACTCTTCCCACATCCCCCAAACCCTCCTATATTTATCTTTAATTTTTACTGTTACATATATATGAATACAACCCACTGAATTCATTATTGTTACTCAGATATGTATGTGTTTGGGGCTGACCGCTTGGGATTGGATGTGTGTGTGGAGGGGGGAGTCCTCCCTAGGGAGGACTGAGTCTCTGTCTTCCAGCAGCCATTAATTGCCCGCAGCTCTTCATCTAGGGGTGGGGGCTTGTAGGATTCCCCCACCCACACTGGGAAGTCAGTGAGTGGTCCACTGGTGTTGTCATTGTGCTGGTCTTGCTTAGGTAACCATACTACTGAGACTTTTCTGGGCATAGATTCTCTGTTGTATGTCAAATGCACTATCTCACAGCAGACGTTCTGGCCGTTTGGCTCTTACGGTCTTTCTGTTCTCTTTTGCCGTGTTCCCTGGCACTGAGTGCAGGGCTTGAGTTAGAGACATATCTAATGGGGTTGTGCACCCACACTCAGTTCTCTGCATCTGGACTAGGTTGCTGTGATAGTCTCCAAAGTCATTTGGTCCATCCATCCATCTTAAATGCAGCCAGAGAATCTCACACTTGGGCAATAGAGCCCTAAGGAGAATGGGTCCAAAGCTTGCTAAACACAGTTTATAAGGAACAGGAGTGATGCTAGGCACAAACATCTCTAAACTCAGGATCTCCACAGTGTGGTGTGCTTTCTCCGTCAGAGAACACCAGGTCCATGGTCAGCTGACTGATCAAATGCAGGACAGAAGCATTTGTGATGTGGTGGGTGTTTCACTAAGTTCATGGAATAAAGGAAGATAATGGAATTTGCTTCCTAGACTATCTCAGATGTTTGTTGAAGGGCTGCCTGAGATGCTTGAAATGCATATTTAGATTTCTCTTCATTTCCAAACCCTGCTATTCCCTAAGCAACAGAGCCCTAATGAAGTTGTAGCACTAGCCTTCCTGGAGCCTGAAGGATCTCAGTCGGGGGGATGGCAAGAGGGACCACTAGCACCTTGCCACAGCCATGTTGTCTCCATGCTTACTTTTAATTACCTCGAAGCCTCTGAAACATGATCCCGTAAATGCTTTGTGGGAATAGTGGCAAAGGCCCTCATCACTCGCAACCCATAAATTGCTTATAATCCTCTAAAGATGTTTTTAAAAAAAAGCATTAAGTAATTGAAGACAGGAAGTCCTCAGTTAATTATTTAGAGGTGTTATCAATGCTTTAAGTAAACTGCGCAGTGTCTGCTATCTCCCCACACCGAGACCCATGGGACCCAGGAGACAGCAGCTCCCTGCAGCTCATATTCACTAATGCAAACAGCACATGGAAGCTCATCAATAGAGACCTTCCCAGGTCACCTATGACTAAATCCATCTTCTGTTCTGTCCTACGCACAGCATGTGGATGGCAGTTCTGGGCTCTGCAGCCAGCCTGTATTGTAGGGACAGAGAGAAGGGTGGAAAGATTACCTCAGTGGCTGAGTCCACTGAGGAAAGCAAATGAATGAATGAATGAATGAATGAATGAATGAATGAATGAATGAACGAACAAATGAATGGCATCTTCTTTAGCCATAGGTCTGGGAAGGACTGTGTGTCTCTGAACTCTGGGTAAGCTGTTGCCGGATGGATTACTTAGGGGCTGTTCATCATTGCATTGCAGTCAGATGGTGCATCCAGCCATTAAAATAGTGAACTGGAGTCAGTTTGCTCTCTCTCGTTCGCTTCGAAGTTATTGAAAGCCCTTTATGCTAAATAACAAACCCTAACAATTCCATTTACAATAGAAAGTTGAGTATTAGCATTATGCTGATGCCAATATTATACAAATCACTTTTGAAAACGAGAAAATGCAGTTTGAACATCAGTATGACCAAATGTGGAAAATCTTTGTGAAGGGTTTCCCTTTAGATAAGTCCATTGTGTGGTGACAAACTATCTTTATTGTCATGGTATTTATAACATTTTATTGAGCTGGGAGATTAAGATAAAGTGTTTGCTTCACAAGCATAAGGACCTGAGTTTGAATCCCCAGAGCACACATCAAGCTGCACATGGTAGCTGTATCTGTCTATAACCCTAGGACTCCTACAGCACTGTAGGAGATAGAGACAGGAGAATGCTGGGA